TTTTGAGATAGGAATATTGGGTTTTCATGAGCTGTATGCCAAAATCTTAGATACATATTAGAAAATATTAGAAACAATAAAAGGCTTGAACTACTTCAGTTGTGTGCAGTGAATCTAATATATATGAAAGTCTAATGTTTATCAGTACATTACAGAAAATAATGAACTTTATCACAATATGCAAATTTTTTGAGAAGGACCTGTATATAGGTGTAGTGAAGTTCTGCTGAGGGTAACAAGGTGAATGCTGTGTGTGTGCGTGTCACTCCTGCTGTAATAAAGACCATATTCTCTCTTTCTTTTCGTCATGAAGAGCAATTAGTCAGGATTCATTTAACTCATTAACTGCCAACTGTTTCCTGATAAGTAAAGCCTTTCGCTTCCAGCATTTTTCAGCGTTTTCACAGTTTTCTAAAGAGTCACAGAACGTTGCGCTCTATGATGATGTCAATGTAAAAGCTACCAAAACAAAGAGGAGACTCACCTCTTACATCAGGAAGAATCTGCACGTTTCGAGCATTATCCGTTCTTTCATAATCCGTTGTCAAATTGTGAGTGGCAGAAGCTTTTCCGGTTCGCGCCTCACTTTTTTTTTTTTACAGCAGCGGCCCAAAACTATCTCCTAACACACAGATTTTCTGCTTCCTGATCACACGATGTGTGACGTACGCAGATGAAGATCAAGCTTTAGAACTGGGATGTTTGTTCTCACGGTGCGGGGGCTCGTTCCGACGCCCAAACAGTAAACAAATGCAAATGACGACTTTAGTCGTCATTGGCAGTTAATGAGTTAATTGAAGTTGTTGTTGTGTTTGGAGCACGTAAAAAAGATCTATATGGTTTTGTTAAGAGGTGCAGCTTGATGATATGATATATAGGGCATACATTCTAATGCAAAACTTTTCCGGTCCCCAACTGGGGGACGCTCAGGCTCAAAGGAGTGCATTTTTAAAACTTTTTTTTTCTAAATAATTATTTTTAATTAACGTGTTAAATGTGAAATTCAATGCATTTAGGCATGTTGACATGGTCAAGACGATCTGTTCAAGCCATGCTTCAGAATGGGGAAGAAGGGTGATTTAAGTGACTTTGAACATGGCATGGTTGTTGGTGCTAGACAGGCTGGTCTGAGTAGTTCAGAACCTGCCAGTTTTCTGGGATTGTCACAATCATCTCTAGGGTTTGAAGAGAATGCAGAAAAAGGGAAAACATCCAGTGAGCGGCAGTTCTGTTAATAGCATCAATGCTGCTTATTATGCATAAATGCTAACACTTAGTAAAATAACAGTAAATCTAGATGTAAATGGACACATCAATATGCAAAATGACACAAATGAAAAAATTTAAATCAAAACTAAACTATTAATGCATTTCAGACATGTAAAGAGCAGCCTATAATACAAATCCGGCTTGTGTCAGTTTGCAGTAAACATCGTTAGAGTCTCCGTGTAGGTTTCCAAGAAAAGCAGGAAGGTTGTGAGGATTATTCCAATGCAGCGAGCATCTCTGTAATGGTGTTGTAGCCTGTGATTATTAGCCCCTGGAGGTCGTCCGCTCTTTGTAAACAGGCTGAGCTAATGAGCCCCAGTGGGCCAGAAGATAAAGACGGGCGCCTGCATGTCAGCCTGACAGCCGAGTTCGGCCCCCTCATCCCCTCACATCTTTTATTATCCACAATCAAAGCAGCGCCTTACTCACATCCTGAACTTGCTTGATGATGGAAGACTTTCTATTAAAGTTTATATGCTAACAGTTCCAGCATGTGTGTGGTATGGGAAATGGCTGCATTTCAAAAGGCCCTACATGAGAATGGAAGAAAGGATTTGCAGTTAAGAAGAGATGTCATACTAATTAATAATGCAGTGGCGATGCAGTAGACAATGAGATCATATTGTAAACACATTACAAATTATATTTATTCACAGAGGAGCCAAAAATAATTGTTTTGTTTGAGTCACCGAAGGAATGAAGTCAGTGTTAAAGGAACAGAGGGCACTGACTGTTCTTTTGTTATTGATTCATAAATCACCTGAATCATCTGTAAATCCACCCACTGGAGAGTTTTTAAACGGTCAGGTGAACTACCAGGAGTTAAGAACAGAATTTAACCTGACATGACGTAGAAGACAATTTAAAACATGCAGTTATTTTTGTTGGACTTAGACTGATGTTTCTAAAACCATCTGCGAAGAACAGTCGAAGCAGACAGACTGACAGTGAAGTAATTCATTTGACACTTCTGCTGACAGCCGTTCGGCATCATCATCTCCACATAAACCCGCATCAGGAGCTCAAATTCCGATCCAAACCGACAGCAGGACACTCAGCCCGTTTATCTCCTATGACAGTTCTCCCAAAAACACTCAAATGTGACGACAAAAACTTAAGCATGCCCTGGAATATGTGAAGAAACACATGACAACAGGGGTAGCTTTTGCCAAATATTTTCTGTCTTTGGACTGTTTTTATAAGACGTCTGACGGTCATCTGTCATTTTGACAGATTACGGTTCAGGTGAGGCAGTGGAGGAAGTTAACGAGGCTACACACAATGGCAAATTCTGTGGCATCACACTGATTAATGCAGACGGGAGATATTTTTAGCACCGTGGAGGTCAATAAAACAGATTCTCATCAGAAAACCTCAGCATCATCTCTGACCCGGACTCAAGGTTCTCTGCTATCTGGGAGCTGAGCGCCTTCAAAGGTTACGAAGAGGAGGCTTTATAGCACGTCTGCAGTTAAAAATGGGTCCAAGTCTAGACCTCTGCATGAAAACAACCAAAAGTCCCAGTATGGGAAACATATTTCATTGAGCACAAAGCTCACTAACTAGACTTCTGACTGAAACTGATATATAAAATGAAGGACAGATGATTCATCTAATCACTTTCCAAGTTTCCTTAAAAGTTTCCAACTACTGTCCAACATCAGATGGTTTAGAGTAAAAACCATTGTGTTGAATAGACACAATCCAGAAGTCCAACCCATTTTCTTCAGGCTGAGCCTCCAGTATACAAGAAGGTGCAATGCTTGTTCCCAAAGGTTCAGTTTTACTTTTTTTTAAAATGTTGTAATATCCTGGAATAATTCCTAACGTAACATACATGTGTAATAATTAGCATGCTAGCTAATATAGTGTGGTGTTTATGTGGTAAAAAAAAAAGGCAGATTATAGATTTCTTGGTTTATTCTTGATCTCAAATCACAGCAGCTCAGTGCCACCAACTATCTGGGAAAACCTCACAAAAAGCAGGTCAAAAGCTCCCATTTCTACCCAAACCTCACCAATAACAAACCGGCCAACAGCTCTACCAGCCAACAGAGGCTGTGTTCAAAGACAACAGGTCCGTCACCCAAACATTTCCCAACAAACACAGAACCAGACTCTGAACAGAACATGTGAAACAACTCCTAGAATGTAATTTGCAAACAGATTTGAACATTCCGTCCGTGATACTAGGAAGCCCAACTCTGACTTTGCTTCCTGTTCAGCTGCTCCAAGACTACATTGCACCATTTGTGCACATGGTCAGTTGGCCACAACAGACCGAGGACACTTTGATAGATGAATCACGAGCCAATTATTACCGGTTTATCCCAGTGAATGAGAGGGTAGCCTCCCTCCGCCTACGTTTGGGGGGACAGGTTTTGACAGTGGTCTGTGCTTATGCACCACACTACAGTTAAGACTACCCACCCTTTTTGGAGACCTTGGAGGGGCTGCTGGAAAGCGCTCCTTCCGGTGACTCCCTCGTTCTGCTGGGGGACTTTAACACTCACGTGGGCAATGGCAGTGAGACCTGGAGAGGTGTGGTTGGGAGGAACGGCCCCCCTGATCTGAATTCCAGTGGTGTTTTGTTATTGGACTTCTGTGCCAGTCATGGACTGTCCATAATGAACACCATGATCAGACATAAAGGTGTCCATATGTGCTCTTGGCACATGCGCAGCAGTGCGCTACCAACACTATCTATAGTGGGGACGGTGTGCTGCTGACCTCCACTTGGGACGTTGTGGATCGGTGGGCAGAATACTTCGAAGACCTCCTCAATCCCACCAACACATCTTCCAGTGAGGAAGCAGAGTCTGGGGACTTTGGGTTGGCCTCTCGAATCTCTGGTGCTGAGGTCACTGAGGTGGTTAAAAAGCTCCTCTGTGGCAAAACTACAGGGGTGGATGAGATCCGCCCGGAGTTCCTTAAGGCTCTGGATGTTGTGGGGCTGTGTTGGCTGACGCGGCTCTGCAATATTGCGTGGACATCGGGGGCAGTCCCACTGGACTGGCAGACCGGGGTGGTGGTGCCCTTATTTAAAAGGGGGGACTTTAGGGTGGGTTCCAACTACAGGGGGATCACACTCCTGAGCCTTCCTGGTAAGGTCTATTCAGGGGTTATGGAGAGGAGGGTCCGTCGTATTGTTGAACTTCAGATTCAGGAGGAGCAATGTGGTTTTCGTCCTGGCCCTGGAGCACTGGACCAGCTCTATACCCATAGGGGGATCCTGGAGGGTGTGTGGGAATTTGCCCAACCAGTCTACATGTGTATTGTGGATTTGGAGGAGGCGTTTGACCGCATCCCTCGGGGGACCCTGTGGGGGGTACTCCAGGAGTATGGGGTACCAGGCCCTCTGATACGGGCTGTTAGGTCTCTGTATGACCAGTGTCAGAGCTTGGTCCGCATTGCTGGCAGTAAGTCGGGCTTGTTCCCAGTGAGAGTTGGACCCCGCCAAGGCTGCCCTCTGTCACCGATTCTGTTCATAACCTTTATGGACAGGATTTCTAGGCGCAGCCAAGGTGTTGAGGGCATCCGTTTTGGTGGCCTGAGGATCAGGTCTCTGCTTTTTGCGGATGATGTGGTCCTGTTGGCTTCATCAGAACGTTATCTTCAGCTTTCGTTGGAGCGGTTCGCAGCCGAGTGTGAAGCAGCTGGGATGAGAATCAGCTTCTCTAAATCTGAGACCATGGTCTTGATTCGGAAAAGGGTAGAATGCCTTCTCCGGGTCAGGGATGAGGTCCTGCCCCAAGTGGAGGAGTTTAAGTATCTCAGGGTCTTGTTCATGAGTGAGGGAAAACTGGAGCGTGAGATCGATAGGCGGATTAGTGCTGCATCTGCAGTGATGCGGGCATTGTACCGGTCTGTTGTGGTGGAGAGAGAGCTGAGTCAGAAGGCGAAGCTCTCAATTTACCGGTCGATCTACGTTCCTACCCTCACCTATGGTCATGAGCTTTGGGTAGTGACCGAAAGAACGAGGTCGCGGATACAAGCGGCCAAAATGAGTTTTCTCTGAAGATTGGCTGGGCTCTCCCTTAGAGATAGGGTGAGAAGCTCGGTCATTCGGGAGGGGCTCGGAGTAGACCCGCTGCTCCTCCACATCGAGAGGAGCCAGTTGAGGTGGCTCGGGCATCTGGTCAGGATGCCTCCTGGACGCCTCCCTGGTGAGGTTTTCCGGGCACGTCCAACCGGGAGGTGACCTACAGGTAGACCCAGGACACGGTGGAGGGACTATGTCTCTCACATGGCCAGAGAACGCCTCGGGATTCCCCCGGAGGAGCTGGCCCAAGTGGCTGGGGAGAGGGAAGTCTGGGCTTCTAGACTTAGGCTACTGCCCCCCTGACCCGACTCCGGATAAGCGGATGAAAATGGATGGATGGATGGATAGAACGTTCACAATGATTGGAAGATATTTTTCCAAGATTGTACGTTTCAGAGGTGATTAAAGTTAATAATTTTTGGACAAAACATTGAATTTATCGGTTGCCATTGGTATGTGAAAAACATCTGATGCCGGTTTCACTCTGGAAGCATCAGTGGCGCAAAACGGCAGCAGAACGGTTTACTCACGAACTTCAAAGCGGTCCTTTTCACACAGGGAAAGTCTTGGCAGCGGCACAGCTTCCTCGCTGGACTAGCGAGATTACAAGATCCCTTGAGACTTCAGGTCACGGTTTGTTTATGCAATTCGCCATTAAACCAAAAAGAAGGAAATCACATTTGCTATTGCTGTTTTATGCCATATATGATGTTGTGCTTCTCCACTGCCAAGATTAAAGCCATGAACACACACCACTGCACTTCTGGAACGATGCTGTGAGTAAATAAGCCGTTGGGTCACACGTAAGCTTCATATACATGAAATTGCATCGTTGAAGTACTTTTCCTGACTAGCCCTATGTTAACCCTTAGAAATTGACGGATCCCAGAAGCGGCATGTGGCAAAAATAGAATCCGATCCCATCTTTAGTGGCGCGGCATGCCGCTTCTGGGACGCGCCTGGAAATTGCCGTGTCGCTGCTGGTTTGAAACACTCCATAGACTATAACGGATTCTATTTGAAGTAGTGACGTTCCGCTGCCGCTCCGCGCCGCCGATGCTTTCAGTGTGCAACTGGGGTAAGTTTGCACCTTTAAGGATAACTGGCAGAATTTGCTGTTTATAATTACAATTTCTTGTATAATTTCATCCTTAACTGCACAATTACCCAATTAAAGTACGTATTTAAAACCAAAATAAACATGATTCGTAATTATGCTATGACGTCATGCCAGACATTTATGGGCAAATGGCTGAGTTGGTGTACTGTAATTAGTGGATCATAAAATTGATTTCCTTGAAAGATGACAGGAATAATACCTGCAGGTGTTCCCTGTAAGATTACACAGTTTATATCTGCTAGCCTGTCAATATGCCTGCTCTGTCACTTGCAGTGTTTGTTTTGGTCGGGTGTACAATTATTTTTAATACCACAAACAAATGCTTCCTCTCCTGGTTTGTTTGTTCTGAATTGACTAATTCAGCAGAAGGAGAAAAAAAACGGATAATCTGCTGATGGGCAAAACAAGGGTACATGATTTGGAGGGAGGCCCACCTTGCATTTGCCAGACTTTCAGAGGTGCCATTTCATTGGTGCTTTCTACTAAATGCTTCCTCAGCTCCTTTAACTGCTCCTTCAGTTCTGGATAGAGGGTCCTGGTGAGAAACAGAGGGAGAGAAATGCAGCTGCTAAAAGACTAAACTGCTAATTAAACGAGAGTGGCTGAATTCACGGATTGATTTAGTTATTTTCAGGTTAGTCGAGCAGAGATATGGTCAGTGCTTCCAGGGAATTAAGTGCGGAAACAAAGCAAAAGGCTTGGCTACAGCGAGCGCGGCTGGAACGAAACCAAGCTTTGAAATTTTATCGCGGCCCAACGTTGAGACACTCACTTGAGTTTGCCAAACAGGAATCCCTGGACCTCATCCACTGGATCGTTCTCACCAATCATCGTAGCATTCACCTCCTCTCCTAAAAACCCCACAAACAATTAACTCAATATTCACGTCAGGACTCCTCTGGGATTTCATGAATCCCAACTGGGTGCATACCTTGGACTTGTGTGTCATCCTTTGCTTTGTACTCCTGGTTTTTGATGGCCAGCTCCACTCCGTACCCTGACAGATACACTTTCTTTCCATTTGAACTCTGCGGGGAAAGGAGGAGAAACTGTAAAAAGAAAATTAGGACTTGATGTCTTCACTGACGACAGGGTTTGTGTTGTTCTAAAAGGCTCCATTAACCACCTCGTCCTTTTTTATCTGCTTTACGAGCTGGCCGACTTTAGATTTAAAGTGGAGATAACCAGCTGGTAATTACTGGGCACCAAAGACTTTAGCTGTCCAACGATTGGTCCAAAGCTACAGAGCAAAGAGTGAGAGATGCAGCCGTTTGAGTTGGGCGTGCCTATCAAACAGATGGTGAGAATAGTTTAGCATAATCAGAAGAAGAAATAAATGGACCGGCTGTATTTTGCATGTGAGAAAAAAAGGAATCTAAATCAAACTTGGCTTAAAAAATGGTGAAACACTTCTCATCCCAGGTGTAAATAAGAAGCCTACTTAGACTGCTGGAGTTGATTTCCCGATAAGGATAACCGAGAGAACAAGTGCTCTCAAATCATTATTTTGCCATATGTTCCCAAACACAGACAGCTGGTACGAGCTCTTGTAGCAGTAAAAGGAAATGGACTACATTTATTAATGTTTTTTCTATTTAATGAACCTAAGAGTTTTTTTTTAAACTAGCTTAAATCTAAAACAAAAACTTTTCCCCATTAGGAAGAGATTAAAATCAATATAAAACTTCTATCTGCCCTGATTCAAAAGAGGATCAAAGAGGAACATCGTCTACAAATGAACCTGACCTGCACGTGCCTTTATTGTTTAGCGTACGCTTGTTTAATTTAGATGATTCCTCACGGGGCATTTGTTGCAGCAAATATTGTCAGCTGTGACTTCGGGGAAGTGTAATTGCACTTTGAGTCATTGTTACAACAGCCACAGAAAGCAGCGCCTCCATGTCTGTTTACATCTCATGTAGCAGGATGTGGTAGATGTGGTGCTGATTGCTCACGTGGGCCTCAACCAGGGGAAAAGACAGACTTCAGATTTTAGTACCAAAACACCTACAGACGGGAAGTGACGAAGCACATAAGCTGCAGATCCTTCTGCAACTCTGGATGCCAAAGCTTGGTGGAACCTCTGGAAAACCGGTGTTCCAAGCTCGGCGTACAGAATGACCACAGGAGCGTCTGGATTCGATCCCGGGAATCTGTGATCACCTTTGAAGAGGTATGGCTTCAAGCTGGAAGAGCGATGGTAAAGTCACTCAAACGAATTGCAGCGGTTGTTTCTTATTCAGCCATCTTTTACCTTTCTGATGCAGTTTTCAGCATCGCTCCCAAACTCTCTATATCACACGTCTTCTGTCCGTGGACGCTGATAAAAGCCGAGCAGCCAGGAGGAGGCGGCTCTGTGGAGGCTATCTACAAACACGAGCATCATCAGCAACACGATCATCCTTGTATGTAAAACGGAATTTCAAAATAAAACGTCACGTCCTCCTCCTGTTACCTGTTGGAAGGAGTATACAGTTGCAGAGTAGGCTCTCAGTGAGAGGGCAAACTTCAGCATGTTCAGCTGGATGGAGCTGAGCAAGGCGCTAGCTTTTTTCAATATCAGCTCGTAATAGGCCTGATCTGTTCCTGTGAGAGAACAAAAACACAGAAGGTATGAATGAATCAGGCTTCAGTCCTGAGAGAGGGATGGGAACATCTGAGCTCGTTTCTGTCAGTATTTTGATTTCTAAACGTCTGGAGGAACTAAAAAAATAGGGCTGCTCAATTAAAGATGAAAATATTTAACATGGTAATTCAAACTTTACCTAGAGTTCACATTTTAATTTCAAAAATTAGCTTCAAACCACTTCTGGCCATAAAACATCCAGATGGAGTATCAGAATTAGTACCTTTATCAAAAATCTGCCTCATCCAGTCCTATTCATGCCTACTGCCCTCTGGTGGACGTCTACAGGTGGCAATGACACATTTTATTTGTCTATTAGTGCTAGCTAATTACATAATAAACTACAACAGATTATTATAATATTTTACTAATATCAGTCAATAAGTAGCTTAGTTTAAAAAGCTTTCATAAAAATACTGTTTCATATTTTAGGCATTAAGGGTTTAAGGAGACTGCAGGCTCTAGTTTACATCAGCAGGAGGCAGAGTTTAGCTGGTAAGTGCAAATTAGGAACAAAATTGCATGTACCATGCTAGAATCAATGTAAACTGCAATAAAAATGCCAAACGCCAGAGCTGATAAAGAAAAGAATTAAAAAGTTTAAAACATGCAACACCAGCTAATTAAAATCAGTTTGGTTCACATGACTAAAACACGGACAGACAGCATTACAAATGATTTTTTTTTATGTTTGGAAATAGAACTGTAACAGACTGTTTGGGGTCATAATAAAAAAAAATCAAGGTGTGTTTTTTACACGAGTCATGTGCTACGGTACCACTGTGTTTTGCCCTTGTTCTGCCTTCTCTACTTTTTTAAACACCAACACAAGATGAAACAGCCCACTGTGCAAATACCTAGTTTGGATATCCTACAGACGTGGTCTGGACCAGCGGACTCAATGTAGACATGATCTGCACATCCATGTGACATCGACTGTTTGCAGGGAGGAGTCTGACCCTCCGAACGGACCGTAAGTGAGTTTCATTTAGAAGGCATGTCAAAATATGACATAGTCCTAATGATAATTAATTTTTAGTGGAAAAGATTGGAGTCAAAATTTAAATAAAAAATTAAACAGGATTAATTGCATAGCCCTAATAAAAAAGAATAATAAATTGAGAGGTTAAAATACGTTTTTCATTACTAAACATTGTTTTTCTTAATAGTAAAAACAATAAATTTATATTATTATATATTAATAAACAAAATAAGAATCCGCACACTTCAGTCTGCGATGTAGGAGTTTATTGGTTAAGCTTTCGGTCAGAGACCTGATGAAGGTCATCACAATTCCTGATGAAGGTCTCTGACCGAACGCTTGACCAATAAACTCCTAAATCGCAGATTGAAGTGTGCGGATTCTTATTTTGTTTATTCCACTTTTTGAACCAGCACCTTTCCCAGACGAGCGGTGACTCCTTCTACTCCATTCCTCTAAAGGTAAAAGGGTAAAATCATAAATAGCAAATCAAGTAATAAAGACTAAAGCAGTTAAAATCAAGTGACTTCCTGTACTCTGTAACAGTAGCAGTGGTCTGATTCTTAACTCAGAACAGTAAACAGTCCGCAGCTCCACAGTCTCACACAAGTGCTCGGTCAAAACACTGACACTGCATAGCCAAGACACAGCAAACGTTATCAATGCAGCTGCTCACAGACTAAAAGTGAAATCTGGTCTGCAGCAGGTTTGAATTACCATCGTGCTCTCCTTCTATGTTTTGACTGGCTTCAACAAAGTCCCAAAACTTCTCCTGGCTATCTTCTGCGAGGAACTCACTGAGAAAGAGAGAAAAAAATGGAGAAAAGTGACATTTTTATCAGCTTATGATGGAAGACACAAACCGATTAGGAGATTTTCAGTCTGTTAGGCCAAGTCTGAAGCTGCAGCAGCAAGCGTCAGTGAGCCAGCAGTTTAAACTCACTTACAACAGCGGACAATCCACTTAAGCTGAGAGATATTGATTTAACTATTATGTGTGTTTCAAAAAGAAAATGACAAACTGAATGCAATATAAGGGCTGCTGCAACTCAGAAGTGCATGGTCGTACCTGGCCTCCAGCAGCAGAGGAGTGTCGGCCCATTTGGTTGTAAGAGTGGTGGTGATGGCCTTTGAATCGGCTGCTCCAGAGACCGCAGCCAGCAGCGAGAGCAGTAGGCTGCATAGACTCCACATCCTCAAGCCTGTACCAGAGGACATAGATGGTAAAGATGACAAATTATTATTAAAGAAACCTGACAGGAACGCAGATGCTAAGAATCATCTTTACTGCCTCAGTTCATGTCAAGAATTTCCTCTAATAACTGAAAAAGAGAAGATGGCCTAATGTGCGATCTAAAATAAGTAGACTGTGTCGGGCTTTAACCAGGTGGAGTGTGAATGAAGAGAACATGGCCTCTCCAAACCGAACGACAGAGACGATGGAGAAACATTCCTAAAGAAAACAAATATTTAGAGTAAATATTTTCTTAAATGGGATAGAGAATACATTTTCCTAAAGAGAAGCAAACAGCTCTCACCAACTCTTTAAACCAGGGGTCTCAAAAAAGGGGACACACTATCCAGCATGTTTTAGTTATTTCCCTGCTGCTGAATCACCTGTTCAGCCTGTTGATCACCCATCTGATTAATATATGTGTGTTTAAGCAGGGAAACAACAGTTTTCAAATCAATTCTGTCCATTTATTATATTTTTTCTGAACAAAGTGACCGTCTAAACCTCACAGTAGAAAGTTTTTGGCATTTTGCAAATGAAAAAAAAAAACCATACAATTTCCAAATGATTCCAACAGATTGTTGTAGCAATAAAATTGTGTTAAATAATGCAGATGTCAGGACGTGAGGACATTGTCCTGAAGGTTCTGACATGTCCTGCGTGAGACACGCCCACAACAGCCAGTTTAACAGAAGCTCAAAACACTGAAAACCATTGCTTTAGTGAACGTGACATTCTAATGAAAATAATACGTAAATGTTCAACTGAAAGACAAGATAAGTTATGTGCTGACTTCATGAACTGATTATGTGTCAAATAAATAAATATGCTTCATACTAGGGCTGGAGAATAAATCAATAACAATATTTATTTATTGATAGACGTATGGCGCAACAGAAAATAAAAGGGTCAATAAAAATGTCAATAAAAAGTTTATTTTTTCTATTATAGCCTATCGAATAGCTAATACTAGAGTCAATACCTACCGCCAACCAATCAAAAACACAGATCCAGCCATGCTCCGTCACCAGGCCCTCCTTCTCAAACCCCAACAGAAGTGATAGTGAGGCGAGGTGGAGGAAACTGTCCAGTAAGAAGGTGACAGTAGTTCACCAGCACGGCGATATTGAGGTTTTTACAAACGATCAATTGAAAAATAAGCAGATAATTGATAAAAAATCAAGTCTGGTAACACAACCAACTTGTTATATCATAAAGTACTAACATAAAATGGCCAGGGCTGCACTTAAAATACATGTTAAACTTTTCTTTTAATCATTAATACTTATTGATATTGATTAATATCATTTTTATGTGCTTATTTTTATATCACCCTACTTCATACTCTTTTGTTATGTCACCTCTGACCACCTAAGTGATTATTTTAGAGCAGTCTATAATTGTAAAGGACACTGGAGTGTGGTTGGGGTGGTGGTCTGTGGCAGGTGCTGGAAAACTTCCCTTATTTTCAAATCCAAAACATGACAGGTGAAGAGGAGATGCCCGCTGGTGCTGCGTGTGCCTGTCTGTTAAAATGACTGATACAGTTTAGTAGTGTTACGTTGAAAGTGATGCTTTAATTTACTGAGCCTAGCAAAAAGAACTGGTGTTCTGATGCACACCCAAAAGTGATCCAGACTGGTAACCTCAGGTTAATGATAAACAGTGCACAGGGGTTTCACACCAAGTAGTAGATTTGGTTTCTGTGTAGTGACGTAGGAGAACACTCTTATGAATCTTGAAGGATTAAAATCCCACAACCTGTTCTGTAAAACACCTCAACACAGAACCGGTGATTTAATCATTTTACAGAAACTTTCTGTTCCAGACGTGTTTTTAAACAGAGGATGATACATCATTGAACCTGCCTCAAGAGATCCAGAGGCCACGTCTTCTTAAGCAGCTTACTGGGGATAATATCTTGCATTTAGTCAATTTATGAACAGATAACAGTTTTTTTCAGCTTTCCAATAAATTATATGACTTAGCTTGGATTATCGTGTCATCCCAGAGGGGTTATTGAATGGAACATATGCTATACAAAATGTAGTTTTAAACAATCTGCTTAAATGTTTTTATATCAAAATATAGAAAGTTTGTGTGCATTTATAATTATTTAGTTTTACTTTTGAGTTAGTGTTAGAGGTGGACCGATATTGGTTTTTCTAATGCAGATACCGATGTCGAAATGTAGGAGACATTGTCAGCCAATATGTACTGGCAATTTTTATGGGCTAGATTTCATGGCTGGCATTTAAATGTTTTCCACCTTTGTTTTCAAAGTAAAGTGTCATTTATAACATCGGTTGATGCTGGAGCTGAACGATTAATTGCATATGCAATGAAATTGCGATGTGACAAAAGGAGATTTTCTAATCGCAAAGGCTGAGATTTGACTGGCAGCGAGTGGTTAGCCCAATGCTAATATAAATGGAAAAACCCATAGGGGCGCTAATGCTAATATCGCCGACTACATTCTTACATATTACGAATTAGGAACGTGCCAAATATTTACATTTGGAGTCTAATAAAAAGTAAAAACTGCAGTCAGTCAAAAAAGTACAGACAGATATTTTAGTAAAGTAAGAGATTTTAACTCCACTGAGTTTTGGCTAGCAGCTATGGATGTAAGCTCTGCATAGAAAAAACTATAAACACAAAAGACTCAATAAATGGGACACACTTCTTTCCTGCAAATCAATTTTCACAGTTGATGCTAATACCTAAGCTCCTTCAAGGGATGTGCTCCTGGCTGCAAAGCATCACACCTTCACATACAAAACTTTGTCTTTACTTGTGAGTGTTTATGTATATGTGGACAAATAAACTTGTAGATATGATATGCAGATAAATATGTAGATACATAAACTTGTTTACGGTATATTCAGTACAAGTTACATAGTTTTTTTTCTTTGCTTCGTTAGTTGAAAAATATGAGAAAAGCCCCTTAAGAAAATAATCGTGAATTAAATCGCAATTGCAATATTGAAGAAAAATATGTCGTAATTAATTACTTTCCCAACATCATCACACATGCCCTATCACATGCCCGATCACAACATGCCCTATGGGTTATAAATTGTAAGTCGCTTTGAATAAAAGTGTCTGCTAAATACATAAACATAAACTTTCCAGAATTGTTTAGCCCTAGTTTAAACTGATCATTTTGAACTCTGAATTTAATCAACTGCACAGTTAAAGTCAGACACCTAAATAATGTTAATTTTAAGTATTTATTATGCAGATGTTATTAGTGAAATTAAAAATACAATTAAATTAAAGTCTGCAGCTGCACCGGGCTGCCCGACTTTAAATCGGCTCTAAGGACAAATATCGGCTAATGCCGATGAACAAAGAACATTAAATATTGGCCCGATATACAGTATCAGTGTAACCCTAATTAGTACAACGCATTTCATATCTTTATAATGTTTAATATTATCTCATACATTTATCTCTTTAAAATAACCCTCAAAACATATGGCGCTATAGATTAAATGTCTACACGACAAAATTGTGGCAACAAAGAAAAACAGCAAGTAATGATTTAATAAAACGAGTTAAGATAAAAAAAATAAACAAACGGAATGATATATTATAGTTTGAGCGTGTATTTATAAACGATATATATAAACCACACAAAAACAAACCAGAACTAGGGGTCAAAGTGTCCAGAAGATTCCGTTAATCAGTAAACAAATTATGAGTGAATCTACGGTCCGAACGAGCACAGATAAGGAAGCCTGGCTTACTGGAAGAAAGGGAATTAAACTATATTTCACGGCAATGGTCTGCACCTGCAATGACTTCACGAGTAAACAAAGAGGTGCCCTGAACTCTGTCCAATAAGAAACTTCAGCGTGGCTCCTTCGTCCAATAAGCAGCAGACCGTTTTGACATCCTGACGGTTCTCCGAGGTGTCTCTTTCGCGCTACATGCTAATTAAGACTAGTAAGCTAGCCAGTAGTTGAGGTTTTAGACGCCTTTGCTGTTATAAAGACATTTATAACCATATTCCGGGTAGAAAACTCATAACGAGTTCAGCTGTCACCAGTTTTAGTGCCGCAGGCGAACGCTAACTCCCCTTCGATAGCAAAAGATTACCTTTTATCAACCATTTCTGTACACCCAAACACCAATTTTGATATATTTTCTATAGAAAATAAAATAAAACATTGAGGAAATTTTTCTTAAAGGGTATTCGTTTACATGATAAAGGGATTATTGATTTTGTTTCTCACCGAAGCCGGCTTTGTAGCTTCCCGTATCCATAATTCGCTGGAGTCGGTGGAAGGGTCCTGACAAGCGGATTAGGTGACTGCAGTTTTGCCTGTTAAAAAAAAAATTAAACTACATTTAGGTAGGAACATTGTATAGCATGATGTCTTTATTGCTCCGTTCAAGCCATAGTCAACTAAATGTTAACGTATAAGCTGAAAATGATCGTTATCACGTTTACATAAATTAGCCTACGCAAGGGCAGTTTATTGGCACCAATTAAAAATTCTGAATTTCACAGAAAAACATAATAGAAGCAAACAGATGTTTTTAGTGATCATTTCACTGTGGACTATGTTCTCTTCAAAAGATGTAAAATTTGACTTCAAAATATTTTAAATAGGCCATTTTGCGATATTGATATTTCATATTTATATTCATTAATATAGAAATATATTTTTATAGTAGTAAAAAATGAGGGTTATACTTGCTTGTGTGTGTGTGTGCGTGCGTGCGTGCGTGCGAGAGAAATTAATTTAAAGAAATGCCACTTTAAAGGGATACTATGCAACTTTTTATATTTTCTTGAGCCAGTATTTGCTAAAAGTACCCTTACAGGGTTAGTGAAATGTTACTCAGACCCCTACTAACCTCTGTGGCCTGAATACCGCATTTACAACTGCAGAGTGCCGGTCTGGCACCTATACTTATAAAAAAAATAGTGCTTACACATCTGGCACTGCAGTCTGCTTCTTGCTCGTTTCCTGCACGTTTTAGATTGTGAACACAGATGATTTAATCATCATCATCATTTATTTATTTCCAACATGCCAATAACATTACAGCTAACAACAGGATATAATCAATAATAAACCTCACAAGATACATCAATAAAAAATCAAGTTGGCATTGTTGTAGGCATGTTCGAAAGGGAGTGGGTGGAAGCCAAGCTTATTTAAGCCCACCCCTATTTTTCACTAATAGTTTAACATTCAATATGTAGAAAAAACTAAAATTCAACAACCTTATGACCAAAGAAAATCATAATCATAACAATAATAATAATAGTAGTCTAGACAGTTTAACAATTCTTGCCAATATCATTAATTATATATTACACCTTTACTCACATCATTGCCCATTCTCATTTGTAATGTATTTTAACCAAACTGTTCTTCTGTAGTGTGCTTTAAAAATCTGAATATTTTGACAATGTTTGTGATCAGTTTTTAAGTTATTCCATATTTTTATCCCACACACAGACACACAAAAGCTTTTACGTGTTGTTCGCACCAGTGGTAATTTAAATATTTTATCTCTCCTTAGGCTATGTGACAGCTCTTTAATTATAAACAGCTTTTTGTGAATTATTTGGTAGAAGTTTATTAAATGCTTTGAAAATAATTAGAACTGTTTGATATATAATTATATCCTGTAATTTTAGTAACTTTGATTGTAAAAAAAAAAGTCGATTTGTGTGTTCTAAGAATCCAACCTTATTTATGATACGGACCTCTCATTTTTGCAATATATAAAGAGGCTGTAAGGAGCATTGATAATTATTCCCCCATACCTCAGCACCATAAATAAAATAAGGGAGAACTAAGGAGCAATACAATACACGAAGTGTTTTGCAATCAAGAAATGACTTGGCTTTATTAATTATTGATAGAATTTTTGAGATTTTTTGTTTCGTGTCTGATGTGAGGTTTCCACGACAGTTTACTGTCTATTGTGATTATCAAAAATATGCTTTCTTGTACCATTTCAATTTGAAAACCATCTATGTTTATTGGCAACTCAAACTTTGTTTCTTGATTACCAAATTTTATTACTTTAGTCTTGTTTAAATTTAGTGACAACTTATTGCTGTCCATCCATCTTTTAACAACAATCAATTCTTCATTTATTTTTTAATAAGATTTGGATAACTGCTATAAAATATGTATCATCTGCATTAAAATAAAATTTAGTAATGTAGATGTTTCAAAAATATCATTAATGTACAAATTGAACAAACTAGGTCCCTGTACTGATCCCTGGGGTACACCACAAACAATGTCAATTTTTTTTACCTTTTCTGTCCAATAATAATATACTGTACCCTTCCACTTAAATGACTTCTTACCCAGTTCAATGCCACTACTCTAATTCCATACATTTCCAATTTGTCAAGCAGAGTTGAGTGATACTGATTTGTTTCATTTAGTGATAAATCACTACTGTAGACACAAATGAAGTCTGGGGAGACATTTCAGCTGTTAGATTAAGGTGTTAAAAAGACAAACGAACAGAAAGGAGATATGTTTCACTTTTGGTTTGGCCACATATAACGGCCACTAGGGGGTGCTAAAAGCAAGCAAAACTGCCAAGTGTGCCTTTAAAGTGCAAAATTCGGAGTGCGAGATTTCTCAGGTTTAAATTGCATCATATGGTTACATCATTCGGTATTTTAACTTTAATATCAATATAGTTATAGGATACATTATTGACTTGAGACAAATGGACAACAGATATATTTTGCTCATCCATAAACAATACACTGTAGACAATGTTTACTTTTTATTATTTGGATCCCCATTAGTTGTCAAAAACTTGACAACTATTCTTCCTGGGGTCCTTTTCTAAATCAATTCATAAAAATAAATAAATAAAATCACAATCCATTAAAAAAACATTAGACTTCTATTACTTCCCTTTTGTTAAGAATTAAAAGTAAGTACAAAGCTTTGATATCAAAATAAAAAGACAATATAAAGCAGGACAACAGGGCTTGATGCTATGTAGCTCATATAAATAACTTATAGTTTACTACTTACCTTATGCATATAAATAAAATAAATGTTAACTGTAGTGAAAATAAAGTTCCTTTGAATTTGCACTGGATACCTGGGATCATTTTGTTAATCTTTACTTTAATTTGATGTGATGTCTCCTGAATAGACGGTCCCTTTGGGGTAAATTAGTGCAAAGTGACAGACTCCTTGCCTACCTGTTGTGTGGTCTTGATATAAAGAAGATGAAACGTACAGAGACAGTGTCCCAGGGTGCAGAAGCATGGTTCATGCTTTTTCATTTACTCGCTCTGCAGCCTAAATTAAATTGGACAGCTGAATCTCCAGAGGGAGCAGTTCAAAGGTTTGATTTAACATTATATAAAAAGCGGCAACTTTAATTATCCTGCTGGATTTGACCTTCACTTTGAAGTGGACACCTCACAGATGTTTGCACGCAAACACACACACTAAAAACAGTTTTTTCCCTACGAGGACTGGCCAAAATGTTCTCACAAGTATATCCAAACCAATCCTGGTGCAGCCTCACACATTCTACCCTCAGAGCCTGCTCATCTGTCAGGAAGGTGACATCTTCAGATGAATTATGGGAGATGGTTGTCATCTTCTCTGGGGTCACATACAGAATGGTGAACCCATGCCGTTGGGCTCCCTCTGCTCCCACCATCACACGTCAGCCGTTTTAGAGGTTGAAAGCCTCGACGGGGGACCGAGACGACCTCAATTAAACCTCCATTAACATTAATACATTTTGTCGTTTCACGTGAGCTGCTGCTAATTAAATGTGTCCCTGACTGTATAATGGGGGTCAGTGCGGGCCTCGAACATGAGGCTAATTCACCACGTTACAGCAACAAAACTGAACTCAAGTCTTAAATACAGCTGGAGAGGTGTGCAATTGTGTTTTGGTTGTTTGTGTTTTTCACAACAAACTTTTTAATTAGGATAAGTCTAGACATTTCTGGGTTTGCACCTGATTAACTTCTTATCAGCTCTCGACACACACGTTGGCACTGTTGGTCTGCGGTCGTGGCTTTAGTTCTGCAACGTTACCAGAGAAGATTTGCTGCTGACCTGGGAGATTAGCCTGACCCAGTGTGGAAGGTCAGATAACAGCCCCAAATGTCCACTCTAATATTTTTTACTGCATTGCAAAGGGCAAACTGGGCACTCGCACACTGACCTGAACTCTCGCGCTGCTCTCTGCATTCGCCAAATGGAGACACCGGTTATTGAGACCCAGCAATCAATTTGTGCAGGGAAATTTATCCCCACATTGTGTACACATGACGATAGGTCTAAAGCCCTAACATCTGTTGGAGATGACTCAACTGCAAACAAAAGGCTAAACTCCACGGTGACCAGTGCCAACAAGGCAATCCTCCCAGATCACAATAGCTGCTCTCTGATGCATGAGCGGACGATGCACGGGACAACCTTATCTGCAGGATTCCACACAGAAAATAAGCAATAATAATGCCTGGCCTCTTTTGTTTGCATGAAACAAACCCCCCTCCTATGCTGGGCAGCAGCCAGAGCCTGGACAGCAACTCATAGTGCTGGATTTCCCCCTGAAGGGTTGAGTTAGCGCTTTCTCTAAAAAACATCCCCACATCCAGTCCTTCGCTACTATTGTTTGTTTAGCCCAGCTGTACCTGAAATGACAGCAACCCAGAGCGATGGGGAGGATTAAGGACTGCGTTCGGTCTCGTGGAGAGGCTGCACAGCTCTTTCCTCTCATGTTTACCATTCTGTTCTTAAATCAAACACACAAATCTGTTTTCTCTCCCAGTCATTATCACCTTACACTCTGGCTCCTGTTCGCACCATCTGCCTGCCTTCATCTCCCTTCAAACCAATTCCCCCACGCTGTCAACGTCCAGGCAAATTATTTTTCCATTCCGCCTCCAAGGGGTCAGAGTTGAAGTTCCAATCGCGTGAAGAGATAGGGTGAAGGCTCTGCTCCTCTGCATCCAAGGACAGGGAATTATATCCATCCTAGCTTGTCATCAATCCTTCACCTGCCAGAGCTTAGATGGAATATTAGTGTGCATATAAGTGTAATCAGTAGTCTGGGAGCATCTAGAGATTGAATTAGGCTGTAGATCACTGCTGACAGGACTAAAACTGTCATTAGATGGGGTACCGGCTGATTTCTGGGGTCATGGTCCTTCGGTTCGTGTGAGCGGGAGAAATGTCAAGTTTCAGATTGATTTGGTGTAGAAAGTCCAAAGAATAAGTCTTCAATGACTGATTATTATCCAGATATCATTAAAAGAATCACAACAGTCATGTTTGTAAAAATGAAATATTTTAATCGGTGGCTTGATGATTTCATTTTTGCAGCCGTAGGAAACAAACCCAGAAGGATGCATACATTAGGAGACAGAGACAGACATAAAAACAAAGCCAAATCCCTTTCACACTCTGTAGTGCATCTTTGAAGAAGGATGGTGCTAGCAATACCGGTGTTTGCTCGTTTTCACAGAGAAAATTTAAATTAAAAAACACAGATGACCAAAAGAAGTATCTGAATGTGCCTTTACAGCATCTGCTTCTGGAATGATGTCAGTAAAAAACATTTCTGAGCATTTAAAATAATAAAAAACTAAACCACAGAGGCAGAAAATGGGTCTTCCTTTTGCTCTCAACTGCAGAGCAACATGGTTTGGAGCCCAAACACAGGGCTAATGCAAGTCGGGGTGAACTGCGGCCAAAACGCCTGGAGCGGCGCCGCTTTTAAGTCTCCAGTTCCAAAAATACAAAGATGGGGAAGCTGATATGGAATGGGAGGATCTCTCTGTCCTTTACTTTGAATGCTACACAAAAAGGACACACTCTCAGTTGAGTCCTTTAGCCCCGCCCCCTTTGTTTTCTCCTTCCCATCATTCCATTTAAAAGCAGATCACATGGTTCAGCTCCAATATGGTAATAAATCAAAGTCAACAAGCATAACAATTCCACTTTAGGTGTAAAAAATATATGGGCAATCAATAAATATAACCTTTATTATATGTATTTAATAACAATCATGAGGATTATCTTTTCCTTTATTCATCATGAGCACATCCCCAAACACAAGCGTTAATCTGATGACTTTAAATATCGATCAAGAGCCTTGGCAGCTATTTGCACCCTGCGTTTTGCCAACCGGAGAAGTCCACCTGCAGTAATTGGGTCATGTTACACTCTGACAAACAATCACTGGCTAAACACGGACAAATACCAACAGATTTATTTTAGCTGCTATGTACTTAACGTGGATTCTCTCCAGTTGACATACGGCTGCAGTTATTGCCTCATCCGTCACCTTATCGCTCCAAACCTCATTTTCTCACTCAATTAAATGGTTTTCTTGCAGGAAAGCATTTCTGGTTTTTTTGGTTTTGTCCCCCAGATATTTTGTGACATCTCAACCACAAAATAATAAAAACGTGCACCTTCAATCAGATTCCTGGCTCCAGCGTGCGGAGTTACTCAGGCTTGAGTAAACAGCAGTCTGTCCAGGTAAACAAGTTGACCCCTGTGGGACCACAGGGACATCTTTGAAGGCATTACTAGTAGATGTCAAACTGATAACAAAAATAATAAAGTTTACATTTATTCCTAAGGTTTTGTGCTAAAATCTTGAATGGGTGTCAACAGGTTGATACATTTGAAACAAATAGAAATGTAGCTGACTGTGTGATACAGTCCTGATATCACGTCATGGAGAGACAAGGAAAAGGGTTTAAACTCTCACTGGGATGCAACTTTTAGCGACTTGAGACAAACATTTGAGAGAAAATGTGCAATTTTTTCATAGGACTCACTCTTTTGCATTTCTTATGACAAAACTGTGGATAAACATTTGTGCAAAAATCATGTGAAATTTATTGTTGCAACGTTCTCATATTATCGAACGTAGGCTTTTCTTTGAGTCGTAACATAGGCCCCATCTATGTTCCAGATATTTTTTTAAATGATGTTATAAACTAATTTTTTTTTGTAGAAAAAAGAGATTTCTTCGCATTTTAAATTGTTTTTGCGCCCCCATGTGGAAGCTTTTAACACACTGCCTAGTGGTGAGACGGGGGTATTTCAGCGTTCTTTATAGACATTTCCATAAATGGGAGGGGGGAAAGTGTGTTAGTTTACCAAAGTTGTCACACATTCCTGACTTTCTCACTTGTGGGAGAAGAGTTCAAGAAGAGTTACTACTCTGAGAACATTTGCCTCAAATCTTTTGAACATTCAGCGAGTCTGCAACTCAGGCAAGAAAAATTGAGAATCCTTTGCAAGACATTTTGGAAAGTCCCTCATGAATGCAGTCGCCAGCAGTCAGATCCCAGTGGCTTTAGAACAGAAGGGGTGGGTGAGGTTTATTGGCTTGCATTTCTGTGATGGTCACTGCACCACCACCACCAATAAGGAGGTAAGCTAATTGGTCATGAAACAAGTCATTCATGAAACTCAGACATCCTTTGTCGGTCAGTCTCTCTATTTACAAAGGCATACACCAATCAGGCATTCTGTACACACTATTTACACACACACACACACACACACACACACACACACACACACACACACACACACACACACACACACACACACACACACACACACACACACACACACACACACACACACACACACACGCATACAGATGAGTAGTCAACAAAATTACTGTAGTATAATGCAAACATGATATCTGGCAACAATGACGTAAATATGATCCCAGTACATAGAGGCACTGCTACCTCGCCCTGTCCGTCCTTCAGGGTGAAACCAGCAAACCCACAGCTCCCATTAACAAACTACAGGTCACCAGCACCACGTTTGCCCTTTCTGAAATGCCGGGACCGAGGCCCGACTCAGACTGCTGCTTTTACAACGCAGTCGATAAAAAAAAGAGGTAAAAATGCCACCCACATTAAGAGCTCACATCACCATGGTGACCGGTAGTTCCACAGCTCCCATTTCAAGCATTTGTCTGAGTTAAGGTTTCCAAAGCGCTTGCCGCTCACGCTGCACAGTTCCTGGCAACCACCAACAGCAGACTCCCCCCTCCCTCCCTCTCCCGCCGCTGGTTTCTTCGCACCTATGTGAGACTCAGCTCTGTAATTGGCTGTCATTCTCTGCAGGACTGTGACCCAAAAGGAGGAGAAAGAAGGAGAAATAATGAACTTGTTAAGCGACAGGAGCTTTGGGAACCTTGATCAGAAAAGTGTCGACTCCCCCACCCTAAAAGAAGCAAGGCTTCAGTAATGGCTATGGTCCATTGTTCAATCTGATCCTTAAACAATTAAAAATAAAGAAATAAAGGAATCACTTCTCTTTAGGCAGCAACATTGGTCTCAGTGTTATTACAATTCTGCTTTTAAACAAAGCATAAAGACAAAAACAACATAAAAATAAAATCATCTTTTGAAATGAGACTAATTAAGGATCAAAGTTTGCTCATGGGTGAAATGGCTGATTTATGAAAGCACAAAGCTTTTAATACATAACTTTCCTTCTGACGCAGCCCCATCTTTTTCTTTGTTTGGCGCCACCTTCTTTCCCAGTTTGTCTATAAAGTGGAGCATCCAGAAGGAATACTGGCCCTTCAGTGAGAATTCACAGACTTGAGTTCACTTCCTCACGCTCCACGTCAGGCCGCAGAGAAACGCGAGGAATGCGAGATTACAGGCGGGGACCGGGAGGAGCTGGCAGAGGAACTCCATCATCAGCAACTTTTAAAAATGATCTCCCCCTGCTCAGGAAGTAATGATGATGGGTGAGACAAAGAAAGGAGGGGAGGGGGGGGGGGGGGGGGGGCGGCAAGCAGGCGCCAATAACAACTGGGCAAAGCTCAATGATGAGAGCTGATGCAATCTACCAAGCTCCGGTTTCTATAGCAACCCACTTCTCACTGCCCAAACCTCTGTTAGTCCGTCGTCTGTTAGGGTCTTTGAAGCAGGCGACGCGTCCGTGGATGTGAGTGTGTTTATGTATGAATTTCACATTACATGTGCACAACTGTCGCTCACTCTGCTTCTGTTGCTACCAGCGGTTGATAATCTGGTTCATGTAGTCCTCAGTGGGGAGCCTGCTGCCCGCCTCCTCCGTTCTGCCTCCCTCTTCACCATCATCCCGCTCCTCCCTCTCCCCCCGCACTCCCTCTAGGTCCTCCTGCCGGGACTCCAGGCTCTGCCGGCCGTGGGAGGGCCACAGGCTGACGCCCAGACTGAGGCCTTGGTGGTTCTGTTGCATATGGTTCTTGATGCGCTGCTGCCGCCTCTCCTGCTGCCTGGTGTACTGGTAGCGCTGCTGGAACAGGTCTCTGGCGTAGTCGTAGAGCTCCATGTCCAGCTCGTTCAGCTCCTCTATACGCTGCACCTAGCGGGGGGGCCAGAATAAATGTTTACGGGAAAACAATCAGTGAAAGAAATGAGTGCGAAAGCAGGAAACAAAGAAAACTAAAGGAAATTTATAGTTTTTAACATCTGGGACATTCTGAAAAAATGTTTTTTTTTTTTGGTTTGACCTGATATAATGAAGGAAAATAATGCAATACAAGAGGATTTTAGATTTGTTTCTTCCTTTTTTCTATAGAAACGTAGCCATTGAAGCTCTTTATGTGGTTCTAGAAGGGAAATCCCAATCCTAAGAACTATTTGGGTCACAAATGATTTTTTTACAGGCTGGATAAGAAATGTCTTCCCAAGGTATCTGAAGCCTCGATCGATCGACTAATTTAAAAAGGCAATGTCCAGAAACAGAGATGTCTCAAAAATGGGATAAATCAGCCTAATGTCGTTAACGTATTGTTGCCACAAAGTGATAAACTAATCTGATATTTTATCAGATCTGTGAACTCACCATCACTAAATGGTACATGTAGCCGTATTTGGATTTTATGGAATGTTCGGTATGGGACAGACGTGCAAAGAGTTCCCACACATAATGCTATACACTTTAGCCGCCAACACACAAAGTCAGCATTCTTTGAAAAACCCAAACAACCCGGTCGATGTACCAGGCACCAAGTCCATCGTTGGCCAGGAAGACCAAAAGTCTGCATATGCTCTAAGAGGGATAATTAGGGGTTCACCGATCTATCGGCCACGATCTCTGGCTTTTTTCAAGGTTGGTAATCGGCCAAAAACTGTAATCGGTGCACCCCTAGTTATTGTTAAAGCAAACCATTGCTATTGAAAAAAAAATATTTGGACAAGTGTGTCAAAACCGGTAAGTTTTGTTTTCAAAATTAGAAAAACGAAAGTCTGAAGGAACAAATATGATTTTGTAGTTCAAACAGCATTGCTAAATATGTTCCTTTATATTTGAGAACATTACACCATGTCTAGTTGAAACTGGTATTCTTTCATGAGAGTTCATATTGGTTTTCTCAATAAAAGGAAATTGAAACATTTACGTAATCTGATTTTAGTTAAGACAAAATTGGCTTCGGCAAGTCAGGTTTTTCTCAAGATCGGCGATCGGTCAAAAGCTGCAATCGGTGCACCCCTAGCAATAATACAGCCAAAGGTGATTCTGATTAGAGCAGGAGGCTCCGAGGACTCGAGTCATTGCCACTAAAGTGCCAGTCATCAGAGAGGAGGCATCAAATTGTTCGGTTTGAATGACAAAAAGACTGGAATTCAAATACCTTCACAGAAGAATTTAGAGTAAATCTTCTTCCTGTTGCACATCTAACGATTTTCAGCTTTAATAATGACTCCATTTCACACAGCAGTCTCAGAATATGATATAAATGTTAATTCGAGAATAATTACCAAAAAAGCCCTGACACACACACGCACACACCTTTTTTTGGGGTAATAACTTTTGGTCCACCTCTCCAGAATCTGGCAGCTGTGCATATTTTATTTCCTCTCCAAGCTGCAGGTTTGATGTATAAATCACCAGTGGGCTGCGTACCGGAGGGCTTTGAGGAAATTGAGCTTAAGAACTCCCTCACTGGACCAATCAAAGTGTGAAGAACACATTTGAAGCTGCTGTCTTTTAAACAGCTACAGTTCTCCAAATCCATTTTGCAGCAATCTAAGACCTGGATGTTTACTTGCTTTCTCACCGCTCTCATCCTCAGTATGCATCCACGATTCCAGGACCAGATTTGATTTCTTTTCGAAATGTTTTTCCTTTTTGACAAGAGTAAAGTAAACTAACACATTTGTCTTGATTTATTGTCTTTTTGCTGCACTGACCGTGGCGTTGTCCAGGTCCACTCCTGCTGCCCGCGTGCTGTTGTACTGCATGAACGGCCTGATGAAGCGTAACCTGAAGGTCCGTTCAAAGAGGAACTGGGTCTTCCTCTGGTACTCGGTCAGACCAAAAAAGGCCATGTCTCGCAGGTTCTTCTTAGCTGACTCCAGCAGTAGCTGGGCCCTCTTCTTCTCTGGGACCGTGGACATGTTGTAGCAGCCGACAAGACTCAAGTCCGCCAGCATGCGAACCTGCAGACGAGACCAAAAGTACAAAACCAGGTTCACAAACCAAACCTTTAACTCCTCACTTAAAACAGAAAGTCTGTGTGACACAGATGAGAAGATAACACCTAACTTTCCCTTAAGATGCACTCATTCATCTATGAAATGTGAGGAAATGCAGCAGTAGAAACTCTCAGGAGGAAGGTCAGGTGGTTCATTTACTGCGACTGCTCCTGTTTACATTGAATCATTCCTGTGCAACATTACCAATTAGCAGGTTGATTAGTGTCTGTGTGTTCCTAATCTCTTTATTCTGATTATCTTTACTATTATATTCACAGATTATTGTTTTATTATCTGTGTAGAAATGTCTAGAAAAGAATCCTTACATCTAAGATTCATCAAGAAAAATATCAACTAAAGCAAACTACAAACAAATACGGGAGCCGTCTTCTTAATTAATTAAAGTTTCATTTGCCATGAAATAGAAGAAAAGTTTGGTACCTAAATAAAAAATCTTCTATATTTAATATTCTGATGTTAAACGTTCCTTCGATTTGAGCGGAGTCGTTAAAAATCACTGAAATATGAAAAAAAAAAAAGATCATAGTGTGTGTGTGTGTGTGTGCACTAGACAATATAAGACCTTTAGTAATAACACCCTCAGGTTAAGATGAGATAAGCTGGTCAACACGCCGAGGTGGGAGACTTAGATAGCAGCAGAGAAAAAGGTGTGAATTTGCTGTTTATGGCCAGCAGGCAAACTCCTGAATGTTCATGTAAAGGGGTGTGTGTGTGTGTGTGTGTGTGTGTGTGTGTGTGTGTGTGTGTGTGTGTGTGTGTGTGTGTGAGAGCGAAAGAGAGAGAGTGCAGTTCACTTTACTCACCTACCTTCTTTAATTTGAAAGAATCAAGCTAATTAACTTTAGCTTTCTGAGTTTTTCTGTGGAGATCATTTAAACAATTTGAGGTATTATTTTAAGATAAATATATAGATAAGTGCATTTTTAGAGGTTTGTTTTATTGTTTAAATACATTTTATAATATTCTGGCCTTTCCTTTACCTGTCTGTTGTTTGCCAGGTTGTACGGACAGTCCATAAACTGCTGCAGCGTGCACCCCGACCAGTCCGACCCCTCGTAGCAGGAAGGCAGCTCCTCTGGCGTCGGAGTTCTCCCATCGCACATGTGCAGAGAGGTTTTCCATGTGGCTCCTCGCTGCACATGCCTCCACTCGCTCAGGTAGCGAGACACGGGGTCCCTCAGCAGAGTGATGTAGTAGAACTTCCTGTTTGGTAGAAAAAGGAGGTTAGAATTAATGTTTCTCAAATAAAAATCCTGATGTAGAATCAATCATTCAGGCTAACTTTATTCAGTTACACAATTCATAATTTAATCATATTTTTTAAAACATGCATTAAATCAAAAGTCTTTACGGACATAGTGGCGCCGCAGTTGAGACAAAAATGTATGCAACAAAAACTCCTAATCACACGTAAGTCCACAACTGGCCATGTGGGGGCGCTGCTTGCAACAAATTACAGCAAAAGTTAATTCCATTTCCTGTTAACTCAGGGCAACAGACTCAGGTTGTCACAACTCCCATTATTAATCTCATTTTTCTAGAAGCAGCAGCGATTTGCCAGAAGACAGGAAGTGAAACTAAAAATGAGCAGGAGGAAAAACTGGACGGAGCAGATTTGTGAGGCGGTGGATGGAGTCAGGCCACGCTTTGTGCAGGAAAAGAAACTGCTGGCACAAGCACAGTTCTCTCTGCGGCACTGTGAGCATCCTCGTGTCTCAAAGAGTAAAAAATAAAATAAAATAAAACATCCTTCCTTCAGCTTCACACTGGCACCAAAGTATTAGGTCTGCCTCTAGGAGATGACTCATCCCACATCTCCTATCCGAATGGGACTGTTTGTGCGGCGCGCGTGTGTAAAGTAATGGTGCATAGCACAGTTCAATGTCTCTCTCTAGAGGGGGACCACTCCCACTTGAGCGGAGACCTTTCCAGGCCTTCACACTCCAGATAATTACTGCAGTCTAATCAATCAACACATCCTCATTAACCACACACACGTTCTGCCTACATGTGTGGATCGGTGCTCGCAGCGTGCCCGAGCGCGCTGGCACGGATTTGTCACAGACTGTGGCAAACATGGGTGCCTTCCTCCTTGGCTTGCAACACGCCGGAGGAATGTTTGCAGGACTCACAAACGCGGCGCAGTTTGGATTCTCACTACAAAGCATGTTGGGATAGAGAAGAGTGACAGACCCAGGAGCAGTGAGTCTAGGCAGCCAAACCCACCCGCTCAGAAACCACAGGGAGATCCTGGACTACACAACACTAAGACATAAATCCTGCAACAATGAGGAGATCCTTGACAAAAAACAAAAAATCTAATTTCACTTGAGAGCTCCAACAAAATGACCCCACCCTGATTCGGCTGCAGAGCAGTGATCCCAGCAGATGAAACAAATCAAACGGCTGCAGGGGGATCTGGAACAATAAAAATGACTAAACTGTCAATCCACTGGCAGCTGGGAGCACCCAGGCAACGGACCGGACAGACCTCTCAATCCCAGGGACGACAGGGGAATCTCAGCCAAAGACACGAGTGTCTAAACTCCAAATCCCATCATCCTAAACCTGGAATCTCATCCTCTCCTCTTCCCACCTAATAAATAAAATAAAAAAGAGCCAGCAGGAGACATGGGGCAACGTCATGGAGACTCCTATGATGACATTATCAGGATTCTTAACACCCTCCAGAGTGCCGTGTGTGTGTTTGTGTGTGACTTCGTGAGCCTGCTGTGTGTTTGTGAGCAAGAGTACGCCTATTAAATCAGAGATGACATTTCCCCCCTCTTGGCTCCCATTCCCCACACAAAAACATGGTACTGTTTGGGCCCTGTTGCACAGACTGGAAGGGAAAGAATGAGGGAAGGGGTGAAAAACAGGGGGAGAGCGGGAGAAAGGAGGAGGAGAAGGAGGCAGAAGGGAATTTCAATTAGTTTTCTAATACTGTGAAAGCAGCGAGGGCCCCGAGCCCAAGTGATTTATCAAAGTTATGGCTCTTGCTATAATGAAGGCTCGGGAATATTAGCAGGCAAAGTAAATAAAAAATACACAAACGTGCACACACTCATGCACACACACGGATGAGTGAGGTTCAACGCAAATAAATGATCTTAAACGGCACGTTGTGTCTGACAGCAAAAACGATGTCGTGGAGACTTTCTGGCCTGAGAATGAGCCGAGGCTCTGAGACTAATGAGGTTTCAGCCCCCCTCCCAACACACACGCACGCACGCACGCACGCACGCACACACACACACACACACACACACACACACACACACACACACACACACACACACACACACACACACACAAGGTGGTATTTCTTCTACTAGAAGCACTTGTCAATTTAACTTCAAAGCTAATAGGAACCACTCGGCGTCTCATTGTTGAGATTTAGGAACATCATCCTGGATGAGTGCAGGAATGTTCAGTCTGGACATAAAACCCTGGAGGAGGTCCGACTCCCAGATTAGATTTATGAACATTTTTCACAAGAAAGAGAGAGAAGAAAAATGAAGAAGTACCTCTACCACAGCAGAAACATCTTATTGATTGATCCAATTAGACTAATTGTGTGTAAACGAACAAGCAGAGGAAATCTTTGGGTGGGTGTGATGAAGCTATTGTCTGAACTGCTGTGGGACTTCAGCAGAACAGACAATTGGTTTGATTTTTTTTTGTCTCTCATTTTCTCAACTTCTTTTCAACCTGACCCTGGAGCCGAGGCTGAGGGCAGAACGAAGCTGGCCAGATTTCTGGCTGCGTAAATAAAAATCCACCAGGGGAGCTTCCCTCCAGCTCTTTTGTTGTATAAAGAAGTGAGAATGTGATACTTAGGCATTTTGCACCTTCTCAAGACAATAGAAATGCCAGGAACACATAGGAAACCTACTTGTGAGTAGTATTGTTGGTCAGTATTGGTCTAACTTGTGACCGTGTTCATGAGAGGTTACTGAGGATTATCAGAAGGAAACACACAGCATCTGGTCCTGTTCTGCACCGGTTTCCTGTGGCTCACAAATCACCACTTTTAAATTCTCTCTTTAACCTCACTTCCCTTTGGTTTAAATCTTTCACCTTTTCTCGTTAAACTTTTCTTCCTTATGCTCACCTCCTTCTCTTCAGTTGTGCCTGATGTTTTCTTACTTCCAAAAGTTGGATTTGTTGAAACGTAAAGGTCTCGTGCCCTGAGAAATCGTATAATACTTGTTCTTTTTGAAATACAATCCGTCACTTTGGCTGCATACTGAACATGAACACCTTTCTCCTGCATTAGCCGCAAACAGGAAATATATGGGAAAACAATCGGGTAAAAAAAAAGTCTCTTATACATCACAGGGAAAAGTAGTACTCATGGCCTCACTGCTTTCGGCTCGCGACCGTGGAAGGCTGTGTTTATTTAGCATCCAGGAGAGAGCAGAGCCCGTCTTGGCTAGTAAAGGCTAACCGTTAGCACTAGCAACTCTACAACATGACAGAACACATTTAGGCTTGAGTTAATTGTAGAGTTAAACATCGACGTTACATTTTTCATCCAAGAAAGACCAAACAAAGGCAGCGGAAGAGACGAGTTGCTGTTAGCCAATCAGAACTGATAAATTTGCATATTATGAATATAGAGTAAGACTTGTAATTCTTGTCTAACTGAGCTAAGGTATTGCAAAAGGCTGAATGGGGCATGATTGTGCCTACATGCTCCGCTCCACCCCATCTAAGGAGTCTCGATTCCTGATCCTTCTTCTCCTACACTGTAAACACTAACACTCAGCCTTTCTTTGTAGCTAGCAAGGAGTTTAATCTCCACAGTTGTGAAAAAAGTGTTTTATTTCTTATCTAGCCTGCACTTAAAAATGACTTTAACTACAAAATGCATTTTTGTCCACAAGAAGTAAAGGTTTCCTGTCCAGTTTTCCTGAAGGAGTTTAATCTGCAGAAATGGTTGGATTTTATCTTCATGAGCTCTCAAAAAACAAAACAAAGACTGCTTGTTAAAACCCTGTCGGAACCGGAGTGGGTTTCCAGATGGATTACTTATTCAAACATATTCCAAAGTTTAAACCACCTGATGGGTAGGTCAGAGCAGTGAGTACAACCAAAACGCTAGCTGGTAGCTGAATGATTACAAAGTTTGGTGAGCGAGCGTCAGTGGTGGGTAGGGATGGGTACCTTTGACATTTGAATCGATTCAGTACAAATTCCCGGTACCTACGAATCGATACCGGTACTTAACGGTACCAATTTTCTATACTTTTGAGTGTTTATTATTTTAATTCTCTTTTATAATTAGATATATATTTTTCTCAATTTATAACCATATTTGATAAATATCACGATAAATAACATACAACTGTTTGTATTTTAACATCGTCCTTGTAGTTTTATAAGCTGATAATTAAACTGAAGCAAACATCTTTACTGTGAACTAAATTTACTGTGTATCTTCATTCCTTTTGCCGTCCTTTTTCATTTGATTTTTCCTACTGGGAAGTTAGAATTTCCGAGGAGAAAGCGAACGCACCATTAGCTGATAACAATGGTGGCAATGGAAGCTAATTTATCAAGCTAACGTTATCGTAAACAGTTTATTTAGCTGCTGGAGCAGATTAAAACGATGATGCCTCACACTTAGATCGTTGTCGCTGGTTTCATCTTCACCCAATCACCCGTGGCATTTAGTAAAGTGAAGCCAAACTTTAGAGCGCGTTTATGTTGTTCTAGTCGGAAATTCGGAGTTCCGAGGAGAAAGCGAACGCACCATTAGCGGAACGGAAGCTAACATATTAAGCTAACATTATCTTAAACATTTTATTTACCAACTGGAGCAGATTAAGATGAGGATCTCTCACTTAGATCGTTGTCGCTGGTTTCATCATCACCCAGTTACCCATTACATTTAGTGAAGTGGACCCAAGCTTTAGTGTGCATTCTTTCTACCATGCTGCTCTGTTTACAACTTGTTCGCAGCGACCGATGTAACGCTCTTGCGTATGCGCAGCTGTTTAGTAGGGCTGGGGGTAAACGATTATTTTTAAAACGATTATTCTGACGATTATTTTATCGAATAGTCGACTATTCTAATGACTATTTAGAAAATTAATCTAATGATTATTTTTCTATTGCATAATTAACAAAAACCAGAAAATCTCAAATAAATTCCTCAAAAAAATTGATAAATTCTTACTGTAAGAGAATAAACACTA